GTTGTCGAGCACAATTACCACCTTCTTGCCTTGAAAGTTGGCACCTTTCCTCGCGCTTAATCTGACCACTTTGATTGGAAGAAAAACCACATTGATCCGAAATTATCCACTTTGGAAACCTTGTTAAAATTAATATTTTTTATCCAAACCACTTTGATTGGAATAAAGTGGCACTTTGATCGGGAAAAGGTGTAGTAACTAATATTATTTCAAATTGAGTTAAAAACGTTTTAAAATATTATTTCACCTTGAACGGATGTACAGTGGGTCTCAAAAGTCATCATACCCCAAAGAATTCGATACGGTTAGGAACAAATGAAGATGTCCTTCATAATGTACTTGGCAACAACATTACCATTGGTACTTACTCGATCTAATAACAATTAGTATGGACTAGGACGGTTTGAAGTCCCAAATTCGAAAAATAAACTGAATTTAATTAAACCAATACTAAAACCAAGTGTTTTTTCGGTGTAGAAGGCAATAGATACAAATTGTGACATTGGGGTATGATGACTTTTGAGACACACTGTACAACGTACTGTAGTATTAGAGACTTTTAGCAATGCGAAATCTTGACTTTCCAGATTGAAACTTCGAATCGAACTTCGAAGCTTGCAGACTTTGCTCGGAAACAGATCTGAGAAGTGAGGAAGTCATCACACTTTTGACCTCGAATCAATAGAACATCCAAGTGCCGCGTGTCATAAATCATAAGTTCGCAGATATCTGACAACTTTCCGAGCCAATCAAATTGCTCTGTTGAGGGTTGCTTGCAAAATTTCCACTCACGCCAACATGCTCCGACTCGCTTCAGCCGACGCATAGGTAATACAATACCTAGTGTTACTGTATGGCGGTATGTTACTGTAAGACAGTGCACAAGCGCAGGTATGTGCAGTGATGCAGGACGCTTGTCTGGAGCTGTAGCTCAGGGCGTACATCATAGTGTACCACCCACCGCCGCGCACCAAGCCGCCGATGATTGCCGCCTGATCACCCTATGCCAAGGCATGGACGACAGGCGCCGAGATCGCTCCTGACTACGACAACCACTCTTTGGCCGCCACGATACTTGACGGCCAAACAGAGGGAGAATCTTGACTCAAGATCCTCAAAGTTCGAAAGCAGCGGGCATTAGGACTGCTGAGTCTCTATCCGAGTCGCTATTGTCCATAGCGTTCGATTACTATCGTTTCATATCGAACAAAGTACAAAGTATGTAAACTACTCACTGATATTGGCCTCTTTACGAATTATTCACGAACTCCTCTATGATTTAATATTCAATTTCATGGGTTTAGTAACCTACACTCTAACGTTAAGCAAAGCAAAAACTACCGGTAGTAAGCCTCAGAGTCAACCAACCGGTGCACCCAGCACATTAGCTGCCGCAACTTGCCGACCATGGCATTCCTCACTGATGAGAGGCGGTTGAACCAACGTGTTGAAATACTCGTTTACGGTCAACCGTCATAGACAACTCGTCACGTCACAGTTAACAACAACAGCTACTGTTGTGTATATTGCAAATATTCCACTGGCAGGTGAATACAAGTATTACCAGTGCGGAGGCGTTCAAATTGGTCATCAATTGATTAAAGCAAGTATAATGATACATGTTCGATGGCATGCACCTCATGGATGCTGACTGTGATCGTGAACTCATCGCAGCGTCGTCAGAAGGCGGCTCTCCGCCATCTACTCAGCAATCACGCTAT